CGCCTGCCGCCATCTCTCGTCGCCTATCTCCCTTCGTCGTTGCCGTCGCCCGACTCCGCTGCTCGGAGCCCGCTCGGTGCTCGTCGCCTTGGCCGTTGTTCATCACCCACGTGTCGCTCGTCGCCTTGGCCATTGTCCGTCACCCGCCACCGTCACAGTCCTTGGAGGTATGCTCTAAGATTGTAATCTCATACCAAATCTAAGATTTATTTTGTTGAGATTTATTTTGTTGATATTTATTTTGCTCGGGTTTGAGGAATCAAAGAAGGGCTGTTCTGACACTGGAGAGTTTGAACGTTGGCCATCGTGTAATAAAAAACAGTTATGTGTCCTGATGATTCAAAGTTTGTATTTTGGGATAGTTTCATCTTACAGGGAAAGCATATGTGGATCTAGTGGATGGGCTCCTTCAAGAAGCCCTGAGGAAGTTTTATGAATAAAATATTTTTATGTTGTATTATTTGTTGGTAAAATATTTATTTATCGTAATAGTATTATTTGTTGCTTCTCCTAATTCCAAACTTTGTTCCATGGATCAAGGTACTACAGTTACTATGTTTTAATTTTTATAATAGTAAGGGCTAAGGCGTAGTTTCCCCCTAAATAATAGTAATAAAGAACACAACCACCCGTAAATATATTAGTAGTAAGTGTAATTATTTGACACCCTCAATTGCACTTTTTGCCTCATATCAAAAATAACAACTCAAATCAAAAACTCAATTGAGTTCACGGACTTGTCGCACTATTTTAGCATGTGATGTAAATGGCATATGTAAACACGACATGGACCTTTCGTTTGTTATGTAGAGAAGGATACATTGCTGCTAAAGTCAGATTTTCCAATAGGCAAGAATATGTTCAATTACATCCTCTTGCAAAAAGCTTAACTGGGATGAAACAATACAGTACTATGGAATAGAAAGATTCATTCAGTTCAGATAGTTGTCAGGCTTCTTTTCATTGAGATGTATCATTTCAATGAAATAGAACATATTCCAGATGCTTGGAATTTGGACATTACTTCTTGTCAGGAGATAGAAAGTGTTGACGTACCTCAACAACGTGGGTTAGTGTATTCGACTTATTCATATGTTGTTGAAAGTGTTGACGTACCTCAACAACGTGGGTTAGTGTATTCGACTTATTCATATGTTGTTGTTTTTTCGTATGTGCTAACACATAGAAACTATATGTGGGTTAGTGTATTCGACTTATTCATATGTTGTTGTTTTTTCGTATGTGCTAACACATAGAAACTATATTTGCGGGCCAAGAGTGTTATATTGATATTGCAAACATTTGAACTTGCAGTAGCTTGGATTGCGGGGAGTTCTTGATGGCATACATGTTTAGCCTCGTTTCCGGTCAACCAATTTTAATTGACCAAAAGGATTGTGCAAGACATAGAGCTCGTATCATTGCTCTAGACATAGAGCTCGTATCGTTGCTTTATTTCTATCTGAAGGTATATTTTCCATAAGTGTAATGTTCATTGAACCACTTATATTCAGTCTATTATTCTTTTGATCTGCTTATATTTTAATTTTAGGATATCAATGTAATCCTCAAGACCAATTCCCCGGATGCTAGATGCTAAATGTGATATCCAATATTTTTTGTGTGTATAAATATATGTTTGGAAATTGATTTGTAAAGTATTTGTATAAATATATGTTTGTCAGTATGAAACCTATGGGGCTGCTGTTGGAATTGGTTATGTAAAGTTCTGCCACAATTTTGGGACGTTGTATATAGTTTGTCAATTGCATTCTTCGGTTAAATTACTGATATTTTGTGGCTTCTGTGGTAGATTTGATGATAGATAGATTCTAGTCTATTTTCTTCGCATTGCGAGCATTTTTTGATTGATGACAAGCTGAGGAGCTGTAAGGACCATGAATTTTAATACTAGTTAAAATAATTTTTTAGTATTTTAAAATATTTAATTATGATTTTTAAAAGTGTATTTATATTTTTCTCGAATGTCTATAATTTTCTATGATTTAAAGTCTAAGTTCTATATTTATTTATTTAAATGATTTAAATATTTATAAATTTATTTAGTGCAGAAAAAATTTCTAAAATTTATCTGTTGCGTTACTGATACTATTACGTATCATTTTGAATAATATATATTATTATTATTACATATATTTTCGTATAATACGTTGTATTATTAATTTTGTATTATTTATATAATTTGTTGAATTATTTCTACTATTGCATATTATCGGTTGTAATACTACAACTGGTACGTTTTACTATGTACTAGTTTTTATGCACGTGCATTGTACGTGGTTAAATATCATAATTATTCATTTTTAGTTTATTTACTTACTAAAATTTGTTCTTCGATTTCGATTTTTGCTCACTTATGTCTCTAAAATTTAATATTGTGATTATTTATCTTCTTTAATATTTGTTTGAGTGGGCTACATGAAAAAACTAATATTTGTTTTTTAATATTTGTTTGAATGCTTCTTTAATATTTGTTTGAGTGGGCTACATGAAAAAACTAATATTTGTTTTTTAATATTTGTTTGAATGTGCTACACAAAAACAACGTGAGGCCAATTTAAATATTCATGTTATTTGGATCGACATGAAAGGAAGCTTCACCTAAGGAAGTATAATGTTGTAAAAGCAGAAAATATTTGAAAAAAGTTGCATTATAATAGCAAGAGAAATAATTAAAGTTAATAAGCCTTGACAATTGATTAGAAGTGGCTACATAGCACAAAAGAGAATATGGATTTTATTCATAATCATTGATAGACTTTATTAAAAATCATAAACTAAATATTGATGCTAACTCTGATATAATTTTATATGATAAAAACATCCACAGAATAAGTATATAAATATATACTTATTTTGGCATTGATAAATTCTATGAAGGTCGAGATTTAGATCGTCAACTTTTTGGCATTTTTGTTCTAACTATCTAGATTACAATTAGACTACTAAATCTGCAATTGGCAAATAACTAAAATGTTTTTAAGAAAAAAAACAAGGCTGTTCTTTCATTTATTTGACACTACAATATTCTTTCCTAACATAGAATTTGAATACATAGAACATATCATTATGTAATACTTCTCGATATATGTAAACAAAAAAAAGAGCAGCAAAATCACCGACAATACTCGAGGAACAAACCGAGCAGAATAGAATCTTCACAGAAAACTTCTATAAGTAATAGCAACAAATAAGCACTAAAACATATCTAAAAAGATCATTTTTATCCATAATTTACTTTAGATATTTTCAACAGTTTTCTGCGGCTGTGCTCAGCACAAATAAAACTATAGTACTAAAGAATCAACAAATCCCTGAATTCATATAAAAATAGAGGTCCATTAAAAGTTTTCTGCAGCAGACTTCATGCCTCTTATCAATTTTCTTGTCGAGACAAAACTTTCCGAGTACGAAGAAAGACATGGAACAACTTCATTTAGGATTGAAGTATAAGTATCATGCTCAAAGTCATGACTACATAATCTGCTTGAATAGTTCCCGTAATTATGGTACTTGAACAAAATCTTGTCATCAGCGATACTGATAACTTTGGGTAATTGTGATGAACCTAAGCAGCCCTCTCTGTAATTTTCGGTATAGACGCTCAACATCTCAATCCAATTCTTGTTATCCTTGAGCATCCATATCTTCACCTGAGGTTTTTATATATAACAAGCGCAACGCAAACATGACCTCTTAGCTCATGTATAGTTATACAACATTCTCTCCTAAGTGTGGATATGAGCGATCGGTGTAACTTCAAACTTCTTGTGTTTGATATCGAACCTAAGGACAGCCATGTAGTAGCCTTCATTTTCTTCTAGGTAATTTGAATATCATGATTATTTAAATTTAATAAAAAAAAGAGTTAAAACAAAAAAAAATAAACTTTTTTGTGGGATTGATCATCAACTCAATAATCTCTCTCTCAAATAAAATATTATCATTATTTTTTTAACACAGACTGTGACCACATGATCTACTATTTTTGAGTTATAAACACATTAATCTAGTACAACATCTCTATTTATTAGTATCTTGGAGTCTTTAAAAGATGAGTGATCATTCAATTCGTAAAGGAATTTTGCATATGAATTTACTTGTAATATGTCCATTAAATATTTAGTTAACTTTACATTGTAGTTTGCTACATGTAGTACTATTGGCAATATCATTATTTTTCCTCTTTAAAGATTTTACTGGAATATGTCAAACGTTATTGTTAAGACTCATCAATAACAATTTGTAGATTTTTGTGTCGTTTAAGACTCATCGATAACATAATTTAAATAAAGCAGATACAAGCTTTCGTAAATATATTGAAAAATGAACTATATAAGCAGTGGTAGGAGAACTTGAGAGGAAAAAAAAGACTTAAAAAAGGCAAGTGAAAAATAAATGAATTAAAAATAAGGAAATGAGGCTGAATGTGCATATGATTGTATCATATGTATTTGTACTTAAGGAGGTATTTCATATACATTGGTACTAAATAATAAGTGGCTTAAGTCGATGTTTCCATGCTCAAAACATTTTATAGGATCACATAGGCAAAAGAATATGGTAATAAGATCTGAAACACTTTGTGACCTGTCTTTGTCCTTCACAGATCACATCAAATCCTATCATGCATATTTTGGCATTTAGGTGTGACGCTCCTAGGTTCACACAAGGCTGCAGTCCAAGGTGAAACCAGAGATGTCAAACCTGCCATGCACCCACACTGTGCATAAACATGTTTCACCAATCACAGTAATATCCTCTAATAGAACCAAATAGAAGTGCAGGTACAAACAGGCAAAATAAAGGGAATAAATATAATAGACATGATATAGAAGAGATATCTCATAAATGAAAAGAATCATGTCTCAACTATAATACATCTGATATCTGAATAATGAAAATGTCTCAACATGAATCAACTAAAAATCGTACTAAGGCACACTGCTTTTACAATATGAATATGGATTTCTAATTATTGGTTTTATTAGATTGTCTTTTGTAACGCCCCGTCCCGGAATCCCAGAGTCGGTACGCTACTAGATCTGATGGACTGGCCTCACAAACCACCACATGTCTTTTCAGCACATTTTGTCCTCACTCACGCGCTCCCTGGAAAACTTCCCAGGGGGTCACCCATCCTAGAATTTCTCCAGGCCAAGCACGCTTAACTTTAGAGTTTCTAAGAGTTTGGTTCCCGAAAAGAAGATGCATCTTGGTGGTATGAGTATTCCAATCAAATCTATCAATATTAATCACATCACCCTCTCAAAGGTTGGGGTATTACATTAGGGGACCGATGAACAAAGGTATACATTTTTTAAGTAAAAATTAGCTTAATAGATATTAATGAGAAGGAACATACCGAGAATAAAATCCTATCATAACAGAGATGCTACTACAAAAATCTCTACCTCTTACTAAATATAAAGATCATCGGGACTCTAGAGTCTCCATTCCGCTTTCAAAAAATGTTGAGTTCAGGACATCTATGGCATTGATAGAGTAATGTGTGCAGTTTAAACTGTAAGTTATAAATTGCAACATCAAAATTAAATAATCCTAATACAAATCAAATAAATAAAATAATATTTTGTTGATTCATTTTAAAATGTGGGCTTGGTAATTTAGTGATTTTAATGTGTTATGAAAAAAATCCCCTGATAAGAAAATATCAATCACACAAAAAACAAAGAAAATATAAACAAGATAATACACACTGGTAGTTCATGGTTCAAATCACTAATTTCAAATCACACTACAAGAAATCTAATATAATCTCTCTCAAGTTGGTAGTTCATGGTTCAAATCACTAATTTCAAATCACACTACAAGAAATCTAATATAATCTCTCTCAAGTGAAGAGGAAGCAAAGAGCCAATACAAATCACACTACAAGAAATCTAATATAATCTCTCTCAAGTGAAGAGGAAGCAAAGAGCCAATACAAATATCAGCCAAATAATTTAATTATCTTGTGGTTCAGAATATAGAGGGGAGTGATCTCTGTTCTAAATTACTACAGTTGTCTTAAATTTCTATCCCAGCCCATGATATATATAGCTACACATTTTTTTTCAGACTTTGCATAAAGTAAGAATTTTAATTCTACAACAAATTGGATTATAATCAAATAAGCTAGGCAAAGAAACTTACTGAGATCGTTTGAATTTCCTTATCAACATTAACTAACAGCCAATAGGAACGAAACTATAAATTTTATTAATAAAGATATAATTATTAATTAAGATTAGATTACAATGTAACATCCAAAAAGTGTCAAGGGTAATAGGATATTTAAAATTTGTATTAGATAATTATGATATATTATGATTAAAATATAATATTCAAAAGAGTTAAGGGTAATATTGACCATGGAAAGTTTTTCCGAACTCATAATTTTAAAGAGGGCACGATAGTGGAACAATCATAATAATATCTAAATAGAATGGGAAATGACATAACATGAGTGATATTAGTCTAACTCTACTATTTACTTTAATGTTCTTAGTACCCAAGTTATTTTCTTTTGGTTGGATGAATATGTAGATGACACGTTCCTATCATTCTTAATTACTATAGTTAAAGATTTTTGTTATAAGCAAAAAGTTCTCATGGATCAATATGCATAACTTTGTAGCTCATTCTGTCATAGTTGTTACAGAAGAGACAACGTTCAACAATCTAAAACTCTCATCTATAAGTATCTCAAAGAAGTGGTGGTGATACTAAAGTCTAAGGCGAGCGAGA